ATCTTCTTTTAATTAATTTTATCTAGTCATTTCTGATACTTGTATAAGAGAACACGTTACCTATATAATCTTGGTTGTATTTTGGAGTCCCTTTCCTTTTTTTCTGTGTTTTTTTATTTTTTTTTATTTACATCATAACAAACTAGTGAAATCCTTTCAATGATTCACTTATTAATCTTGATTTCTTGCAAATATGATTCTGTTTGTAGCAAACTTTCTTCAGTAAAAAGCTCTTATGAGTCCTGCTCTTGTTAAATTGCTTAATGTACTATTCCATGCAGTGGTATGAGCACTGTACATTCCAGAGATGTGAAGAGGAGAAGGAAGACACTACGATTAATAGAGTTTATAAATAACAAAACTTCAGGAGTGTAATGTGTTCAGACCAACCTGAGGTCGTGTTTTCATAATAGGTTCATTGTTGAAACTTAATTTAATATATATTGTGTTATTTATTTATGTATTTATTATTTGTTGACATTCTTAGACCTAGTAGCTAGATTTATTTGTGTCTGAAGTATATTTCTGATGTGGATACACCTACATTCTCCAAATTAACTTCACAGAATTGGAATTACAAGCAGGATGAGGCAGTGTGCTTTTATTGTTGTCTGAGATTTGTCCAGTGGAAATGTCAGGGAGAAATTTGTCTAATCTATTTCTGTCCTCTAATAAAGGCTAATAAATGACAATAAAAAATATGAAACTGTCCTGGTGGTGTCATTGTGGATTTTGTAATTCCATACTGAACATTTGAATATTAGTGACTGAAGAGAATAAAAATTTAAGCATATTTATGGAAGCAATGCTTATAATTTATAAGGGCCATTTTTTAATAAGGTGCAATTCTAGTCATTTGCAATACATTCAGTGTAGTAATTTATAGTTCTCATATTTTGCATTCTTCAGATAGTTTTAGAAAACATGATTTCTTCTGTAGCTCCAATAAACAATATTTGTGTGTGTGTACATGGGTACACATACATATGCACATATGTATATATACATACAAATCTTCATCCTTAACTCCATCTTGTTCTTGTCTACTTCTGAATACGTTATGATTACAACTCTAATAACCACATTCCTATAATTAACATGCAGGTATTTTAGAGGAATAGAAGTTTAGCTAACAGTTGATTTGAAACTTGAGATGGAGAGAAAATTGAGATCGCAAGAGAATCAGAACAGCTAAGCTTCTTATTGTCCCTTACATTGCATGCAAACAGACGAAAATCAGAGTCTGTTGAGTGTACCATTAAACGAAACTAAGGGACTTGATTACAGTACTGTACTTCCATACGTAAACCCATAGAAAACTTCTCAACAGCCCAATTATTCATAGTGCAGAAGTACGGAACCTCTCGAGCAGATAGATCTCTGCAAGGACCTTCTATATACTTTACTAAACTATATTGCAAGAGATGGTTTTACACAGGCACTTTTCGTATTTGCCAATTATCTTGCCGGAAGCTATAATTCTATTGATGTAACAGGGTGAAGGTCACACAAAAGATTTTTTTTTTTTTCATAGTGAAAATGCATTTTTTAATACATTACATTGACAATAATGCAATGAATTTAGTTCACGAAAGAAGGCGCTGATCTACATAAATTTATTTACTTCGTCATTTATCTTGGGGATGTGATACCACGATGGCTTGCCTTAGACGCTGTGGGATGCAAGCAAGTGTAACGTCGATTCCCGAGCTGGGTAGAGCCATGGTTAGCGGGTCACACCTTACCTGCCCGATGCGAAAGGCAAGACAGTCCATAGATGCAATTTTTTTTTTTTCATAGTGAAAATGCATTTTTTAATACATTACATTGACAATAATGCAATGAATTTAGTTCACGAAAGAAGGCGCTGATCTACATAAATTTATTTACTTCGTCATTTATCTTGGGGATGTGATACCACGATGGCTTGCCTTAGACGCTGTGGGATGCAAGCAAGTGTAACGTCGATTCCCGAGCTGGGTAGAGCCATGGTTAGCGGGTCACACCTTACCTGCCCGATGCGAAAGGCAAGACAGTCCATAGATGCAAAAGTGCTCCGCGAAAGCTGAGGACCGCCCAGTTCAGACTCGGTAATGCGTTGGTCGGAGCCAGGATCTATATCCGGTCGACTGTTACAAAGGTCGCCTGTCATTTCTGTCACGTACAGTATGGAACACGGGGATATGCTCTCCGTCAATTCGTTATCTTCGTGACTACTTCGTACTGAGGTTGTTTCCGTGTGTTTTTTTGGCTCTCTTTTCTTTTTCTTTTTATCATTCTTTCTTCTATCTTCGGGCCTTTTTCTGCCTCCGTTTTTTCCTTTTGATTTTCTTCTTTTGCCCTTTTCCCTTCTTCGCTGATTTTTGTTTTTTCCCTTTCTCAATGTCTCCCTGGCCTTGTTTCCCCCCCGTTTCTTCCCTATGCTCTTTTCATTCTTCCTCCTTTTCTCCATATCTTTCTTTCCCCGTTTCCTTGTCGTCACTTTCATCCAATTCTCGTGGAACTGTGACGGTCTACTCTGCAGTCGGAAGACCTCCACGACCCGCGAACCCTTGGCGAGGGAGTGGTCGCTCTGGCCTCCCTCTCCATCCACTATTTCGTACCTCTCTGATGCCCAGCGTCCATCCGATAGCTGGCGGGCTTCAGTAACAAAGTCTTTGTTACTGTCTCCATGAACGTACGCATAGTCCCCCTTAGACGCCTGGAGGGACCCTGGAGCGGCAGATACTTGGGACACTAGCAGGGTGGCAACCGTCACCGACAGGAGGAACCCGAGGATCCTTGATGCCGTCAGTCCGTCCATATCTGGAGGAGGACGCCACCAACGCTTCGATGCTGGTTTATGTGTGATGATCCTGGGTCACCAAATAAGGAAACCTCGTTGCCAGTTTTCTACGCAAAATGGACCGTCCTACGACTGCTTTTGCTCCGTCGATTCACTGCCCGTGTCTGAACTTCGACGCCAAGTCCGTACAGCAGGAAGATAACGTCGAAATGAATAACTCGACTTCGGAAGTTATATAGTCCGCAAGCCAAACATGACTGCCAACCAGACATCGGGAAGCCCTCTCTAAGTATGTTTCACGGGAGCAGACTATTGTCTTTTAGAGAATCTGGTGCGTAAAAGGACATCCGATGGCCCTATTCAATCCCGTGGGAAACTCAAAAAGGGAAAGCCTGTTGTTTGTTTGTTTGTTTTTATTTTTTTATTATTGCAATCGGCTGTACTCTTTTCATATTTTTCTCCTTCCCTCTCCTTCTCCTTCTTTATCGTCTTCTTTTCTTCTTCTTTATCTTCTCCTCCTCCTCCTCCTCCTTCTTCTTCTTCTTCTTCCTCATCTTCTTCCTCCTCCTCCTCCTCCTCCTCCTCCATTACCTCTTCCTCCTCCTCCTCCTCTTCAATCTCCTCTTCCTACTTCTCCTTTCCTTCCGCTTCCTCTTTTTAATCTTCATTTTAATCTTCCTAACCATCCTTTTTCACAATTGCCTTTGTTCTTTCTTTCTCCTTCTCCTCTTCATCATCATCGTCATCTTCCTCTTCCTCCTTTTTGCTTTAACTTTTTTTTTTCATTATTGTCATTGTTTGTGCTTTCTTCTTCTTCCTCTTCTCTTCCTCCTTCTCCACCTTTTCTTATGCATGCTCTTATTTCTCCTCCGTCGGCTCTCTCTCTCTCTCTCTCTCTCTCTCTCTCTCTCTCTCTCTCTCTCTCTCTCTCTCTCTCTCTCTCTCTCTCTCTCTCTCTCTCTTTCTCTCTCTCTCTCTCTCTCTCTCTCTCTCTCTCTCTCTCTCTCTCTCTCTCTTTCTCTCTCTCTCTCTCTCTCTCTCTCTCTCTCTCTCTCTCTCTCTCTCTCTCTCTCTCTCTCTCTCTCTCTCTCTCTCTCTCTCTCTCTCTCTCTCTCTCTCTCTCTCTCTCTCTCTCTCTCTCTCTCTCTCTCTCTCTCTCTCTCTCTCTCTCTCTCTCTCTCTCTCTCTCTCTCTCTCTCTCTCTCTCTCTCTCTCTCTCTCTCTCTCTCTCTCTCTCTCTCTCTCTCTCTCTCTCTCTCTCTCTCTCTCTCTCTCTCTCTCTCTCTCTCTCTCTCTCTCTCTCTCTCTCTCTCTCTCTCTCTCTCTCTCTCTCTCTCTCTCTCTCTCTCTCTCTCTCTCTTTTCTTTCTCTCTCTCTCTCTCTCTCTCTCTCTCTCTCTCTCTCTCTCTCTCTCTCTTCTCTCTCTCTCTCTCTCTCTCTCTCTCTCTCTCTCTCTCTCTCTCTCTCTCTCTCTCTCTCTCTCTCTCTCTCTCTCTCTCTCTCTCTCTCTCCTCTCTCTCTCTCTCTCTCTCCTCTCTCTCTTTTTCTTTCTCTCTCTCTCTCTCTCTCTCTCTCTCTCTCTCTCTCTCTCTCTCTCTCTCTCTCTCTCTCTCTCTCCTCTCTCCTCTCTCTCTCTCTCTCTCCATCTCTTGCAGATCACGTCACTCGTTCCTTATTTTTTTTATCTATCCATTTTTTTTCTCACAACTACTCTTGCTCTTTAGAATAATAGTCCGGTTTCTGTCATCGTTGTTGTTCTTGTTGTTGTTTTGTTGTTATTATTATTGCTGTTCTTGTTCTTTTTGTTTTGTTGTTCATGTTCTTGTTAATGCTATTGCTATTATTGTTGATATTGCTATTGCTGTTATTGTCATTATTATTTCTAAGCAGCAGAAAAAAATAAAAAGTCGGTGAATGAAAATCACAGAAATATTGGATGAAAATCCAAAAGAAGAACAGAAAAGAATGCATAAACGGGAGAAAATGTTTGATTAAGAAGTAGCCGTGAATAAAGAAACATGCAAAAAGAGAGAAAAAAAATTAAACATTTAAGAAATCAAATAATGAAAGGGGGGAATAAAATGCCGAAAAAAATAAAGATAAAAATAAATACTAAACGTAAAAAAAAAAAAAATAAAGCGACGGTATTATAACGGAAAGAAACAAAAGAAAGAAAAATAGACAAGTCAAAATATTTGTAAACAGAAAGAAAAAAAAAAAACTTGAAAATTTGGATGTGAACGTCACACGGAGAAGAGTGCAGAGAGATAAGAGGAAACGTCCACTTAAGTCAACGTTTGATGGAAGAAACGTTGCGCGACTTTCGTTTTCCTTTGAGATGCAAGGGCACGGAGATGTAGAGAAAACGGAGATTTAAAGAAAACGGAGATGTAGAGAAAACGGAGATTTAAAGAAAACGGAGATGTAAAGAAAACGGAGATGTAGAGAAAATGGAGATTTAAAGAAAACGGAGATGTAATGAAAACAGAGATGTAAAGAAAACGAAGGTGTAAAGAAAACGGAAATGTAAAGAAAACGGAGATGTAATGAAAACAGAGATGTAAAGAAAACGGAGATGTAAAGAATACGAAGGTGTAAAGAAAATGAAGGTGTAAAGAAAACGGAGATGTCAAGAAAACGGAGATGTAATGTAAACAGAGATGTAAAGAAAACGGAGATGTAAAGGAAACGAAGGTGTAAAAAAAACGGAGATGTAAAGAAAACGAAGGTGTAAAGAAAATGAAGGTGTAAAGAAAACGGAGATATCAAGAAAACGGAGATGTAATGAAAACAGAGATGTAAAGAAAACGGAGATGTAAAGAAAATGAAGGTGTAAAGAATACGGAGATGTAAAGAAAACGAAGGTGTAAAGAAAACGGAGATGTAAAGAAAACGAAGGTGTAAAGAAAACGGAGATGTAAAGAA